CCCCCCCCCATCTGGTTCCGTTGGTAGTAGTATAGCATGGTAGTCTAGACCCTTCTCCTCCTTGCAATAGGCGCCCTTTTATTGTGCGTGCTATCTCTTTTTTCTTGTTTCCGAGTGTTTGCCGAATTTCGACACGGAACGTTCTCTGTCCGCCCACTCATAATAAATAGGACAAAAACACACCACACACACACACACACACCTCCCTTCCCTGTGACCTCCCAGTCTGGCGGTGGCATGGCTGGTCGGGTGATGGACAACGAGACGAAGGAGCAGTTGTTGTTCAAGGACACCGACATGCGCAGGTGTGTTGAGGTGGACCAAACGGTGGCACGTGCACCACCATGGCTTGCAACTTTTCGCGTTGGCTGGGGGTCTGCTCAGCGCGAGTCCAACAAGAGTCACAGACGAAGAAAAATGTTTAGAAAAGTAAAATGAAATGAATACATGAATAAAGTTCCGTTGCAAAGGCTCTCCCCCTTCCTCCCCCCCCTCACAAGCACATGGCTGCTCCCGAACATGGCATTGCTAGCTGGATACCAACTCCGACTGGAACAGAGCACTTTGTTTTGCGACAGGGACGCAGACAAACAACAAACAAGGAACATAGCATTTTTTAAGAGAACCGTTTGTTCTTCAGGAACGGGGACAGCGGAGGCGTTTCGCGCGAGGAATACGGGGTCGGGGGCTACGGCGGATCAGGGGGGGCAAGAGGCGGGGGGTCCGGGTACTACCCAGGCGCGCCTCCGTCCTACATGGGAGCAGAGGGAGTAAGCAGAAATACGAACAACAACCATTCCTTAGGCGGGTCGAGACCACCGGTGCTGGCTAGGATGACAGGGGAGGATTTCCTGGCGCCTCTGCGGATGTTCCAGCGAAGGGTCTTGTACGCCAACGTTAAGATGGACGGGACGGTGGAGTACCCCTCCGCCAGCGTGCGCATCGACGACCCCTACGTCTACGTGCCGGACACCGACTTGTGAGTGTGTGTCTTTTGCTGGACTTTTGATAGGCCCCAGCAAACGTTGGAACGTACGTTTTATTTTGCGGGGCGTGGAAACCGTTTGCTGGGTCCGCGAGGGCATCAGTGTTGTGTGTCTTTGCTATTGCTCAAGTAGCGTTGCTCGTGTTAAGAAAAAATCTCTGACCCCTCGGAAGACTCCAGTTCATTGAATACATATGGTCCGTTCGGGCAAATAGTCACAATATTGTTTTTCGCGATAACTTTCGAAAAAAACGATTTGGAAAGTGAAACAACTTTGGCCGTGACCGGGGCGTCGAGCTTCGTCCATACCCGATGAGTTTTTGGTGATTGGGTGAAATCCGACATTTTTGATGAAAATGACCCACGGAACCCCCACCCCCCTCATGACCCCACGGAGCCCCCAAAGTACACCACGAACCCCGCCAAACCCCTCCCTGTTGCACGTATTTGCCTTCATGACATCAGTTAAACCGTTGCCAATCCATATCTACATTTTTTACACGTTACATACAATACCGCCGCAACTCTCTACCCAACCCTTGCCTGGTGAAGTTGCTGTAACCCAAAGCATGCAGCAATCAGCACATCCGTTTTCTCTAACCAAGTCCGACACCAAGAGAGACAGCCAAAGCGTTGAGTTGGTCACCATGACGAACGCCTCGACCGCGCCTAAACGCGAGAAACCAAGAGCACAACACACCGCGACACATAAATCATATGTACATTGCCCACAGCAGGGTCCGCAGGGGGGGAAGGGGCCTTCCGAATCGTGCCGTCGGCGTTCCTTGCCCGCTTGCGCTTTCCCTTTCTTGGGCGACCCATGTGCCCGGAGCGCGTGTGCGCCTTTCGTAGCGTGCGTNTGAGTTGGTCACCATGACGAACGCCTCGACCGCGCCTAAACGCGAGAAACCAAGAGCACAACACACCGCGACACATAAATCATATGTACATTGCCCACAGCAGGGTCCGCAGGGGGGGAAGGGGCCTTCCGAATCGTGCCGTCGGCGTTCCTTGCCCGCTTGCGCTTTCCCTTTCTTGGGCGACCCATGTGCCTGGAGCGCGTGTGCGCCTTTCGTAGCGTGCGTAAAGGGGGTGTGTGTGTGTGCCTCTGGTGTGTGTGTGTAGCGGGAAAAAATTCCCCGAGGGCGTGTGAAACCACCCGAAATATCTCCGAAACCCGAGTTTATTTAAATCGGAAAAAAGATCTCGGTGGCAAATCACGAGAGGAATCGATTGCCGCAGTTTATTTTTGAATCGTATGGTTGGATTGTCCCCAAGAAACTAAGCAAAATACCCTCCAAAATCGTTTTTTTTGCCCACAACTTCGTTGTTTTTGTCAAATTGGAAATCGGGAAAAAATCGGTGGCAAATCACAAGAGCTGTCCAAATCCGGTCTCAGATTATGTGTCTGCAACAAACACCGCCCTCCAGAGACTAAGCAAGATTTCTTGAATATTTGAACATATTGAGCGAAGGGCGAAAAAAAAAAAAACTCTCTTTACGAAGATGCGCCTTGAAACGACGATTTACGCGGTATTTTCAGATTTCGGAACAAATACCCCCACCCCGAGAAAAGTGCACCTTTGTACAGGTGAAAATTGTGTGAATTTGTGGGCAAACGGACCATAGCTGGGGACGAAACGTGCGTGTAAGAGACGTGATATTAGACCCTCGAAGGTATTATCCGGCAACGTTCTATAACTATTGCCACGGAGGTACAAAGAAACGAGAGATGTGAGACCCTGGAACACATTCTCGGGGAGGGTAGTAAAACCACGATTAGTTTAACCACAAATATTCTACATAGGGAATCAAGAACATGAAAATATTTTGCGTGGCCGTTCCTCATGTCGTGACTCTTGCGTGTTTCTGCAGCATGCATGTGCACTATCGCAGGAGTAGGGGACCGCAGAACTACTGCTGTCGCGAATCCTGCACAGCAGAGTTATGTATACAGGGAGACGCTCGTTGTTCTTGACTTGGACGAGGGAACGAGGGGGGGGGGGGGGGGGGGNGGGGGGGGGGGGGGGGCAAGGGAAGGCGCAAAGTGCTTTCTTTGTGTGAATGCAGGGGTCTGTTTATTGTGTTGTTCGTGGGGTGGAGGCTTTGAGGTGCTCACGTGAAGGATTGACTCCCTCCACGTATTCTAGACGGGTCAAAGTGCGGTGCCCCCCGCCCCCCTTCCCCTCGCACGCCTGGTCTTTACGCCCTCGCAACCGCCTTCCCGCCTACCCCATACTTGGCACACATGATAATTATCTCATGTTGCCAGCCTCTCTATATATTTCGCGCACGTTTTAATTCAATGTCGCTCCCCACTTCCTGCCCCCGGCCCCGATAACCGCGGCGAAACTCGACTGCACAGGTCCCGGATGTGCTCACCGCACTACACGCACGTGATGGCCAACAGCAGCAAGGGCAACCTTGGCGGGATGGACCCGGCGGTGGCGCGGGGCCCAGGGGGGGGGTTCCCTACCGCTCTCGCTTCGGCAGCCCCCGAGTCTGGCATGTGGGAGATCATGGTGAGAGGCAAGATAGCCCAGTCCTCGTGTTGGTGGCGCAACACACGGCAGCAGTGTGGGAAGCTTGATGTCGCAGAAGTCCTCGCGCTGGTGTTGATGTTTGTTGTCACAGACAACAGCAGTGTCTGATGTTGATGTTGACGCGACCACTGATTTGGTGGTGGTGTCGTTGCAGGGTGTTTGCTGCTGCTGCTGCTGTCGGCAAGGAGGTAGGTAGTTGTATTCTGTGGCTGGAGTGCGTCTGGTTCAACACATTCGTCGTGCGTTGATCGTGAACAGATTCCAGCTCTGCTCTCGCAGCCATCGAACGAAACACCTTCCCGTGGGGGGGGGCTCTGTAGTGCCGGTGCCCGGTGTAGTGCCGGTAAAGTGTCGGGACACACGCCGGCACTACAGAGGCCCACTACATTCAGTACTGTACCGTCATTTGTTACCATGCTTGTATGGCAGGCGTGAATAGTACTAATATGGTTTGTTCAGGACAGCCTTAGTCACAGGCGTGGCCTTTGTCCAATGGGTGATTTCTGCTCTGTATTGTCCCCGGCCGCGTCGCGAAAATGCACCGCCACAAGACCCAGCAAACCAAACCACCTACCGCTACTCGCAACGCTCCCCACCATGCTTCCTAAACCAAACAGGCCCAAGTTCTGGATTCGTTAGGGTGGGAGCGAGTAGACATCTTCAACCCGGAGGGCATGTCCCCTTACAAAGACCTAGTCGTGGTTAACCAATGGCTGAACTCGGAGGGTACCGACATAGTCCGGCACCTTGTGGACAACTCCCCCAACAAGCCCGTCGAGGAGGAGAACGAGAGGCGTCGGGATGAGGAGCAAGAGCAAGGGGCCGTTGTCGAGGACTTGATTAGCGGGTTTGATGACGACGAAGGCGATGGCGACGATGCGTGATGCCAGCTTTAGGGGTTGGGATTTGAGTGTTTATCTTGCCGAGGGACTTGCTTTGTTTCTGCATCTTTTGCGGATGAAGAGTTGGTCGCCGGCAGGGTAGCCACGTGGACAATGTTACCGGTCCTTGAAGTCAGCAGTACATCGATGCGGGATTGACCTTTGCGGCACCAGAAGTCCGCTGCCTTTGGGTACGATGGCTGGACGGGGGGGGGGGCTGCGCGATAGTCAGCTCGATCTCGGGGCGGATTGCGACGGATACAATTTGTTGAGAGTCGCCGTCTTGTGCGGAAAATGTTTTGTGCGGATAGATGGCGACGTAAGTCAGGAGCCAGACAGTTGCAGCAGTCGGGTGATTTTGTTGAGCCTCCGCCGCCACCCCATCCACCCCACCCCCGCTTTGCGTACAGCCACACGAGTGCGTGCCCACCGAGTTCATGCCCACGCTACAAGACCGGCCCTGATGCCTCCATTGTTTTCGCCAGTTGTTTCTCCTCTCCCTCCCTAACAGGAGAAATGTGCGAACCCGGCCTGTCTTGGGCTGCGTCGGGACGATGTTTTCGTCAGAAGCGCGCGGAAACTCGGCGCGGGCAGGCACCCTGTTCGTTTCGTTTGGTTTTATGGAGAGAGAGAGAGAGTTGTCGTTCTTCAACTGGGTCTCCTAGGAGCGACCAAACGTGGTTTTGTAGTGTAGAAGCGTTTCGTCTAGTCTGGGAGACGGGTGGGGGGAGGTAAATGTAGTGTCTGAAATTCTGTCTTGGTTGTCTAACTTACGAATTTATTTACTGCCGGATTGTACGATCGATCGACTTGTTTCATGCACATACATCGTGGCGTATGCCACTCTCTTCCCAAAGGTTCAAGGGTCGACAATGATTACTTTTATGTAACTGCTGCTTTGTTATGTTGCGGCCGTTGTTCGCTGAGTCACGGCCGCGGTGCTGGGGGCTTGCGTGTTGTTTGGGTATGAGAATTACCTGCCACCTTCAATGTTAGTGGGTCGGGGACTGCTGAAGGTACCGCCCAGAGGGAGCAGGCTGCTCCTCGACATGGTACAATAGTTGCGGGCATGACACATCATCATGTTGTTTCAGTAGCTGTGGCAGAGGTTCAGCAGCACGTTAGCATGTGCATTGAAGCATTACCTTTGACCATGGATGAATTTTAGCGTTCGAAGGACACGCCTCTGGCAGGCTTGAGAGCTCAGGCGCCGCTTACCAACGTCTCTCGCAATGATTTCGCGAAAACATGCACGGATAGTCATACTACTACTGTAACTCGACCGCCCCTAGAGTGGCGTGAGGCGTTCAATCTTGATTTTGAGACTTCTTTCAAGGTGCGCAACTTTACCTCTTCTTCAGGGCATCGATTTTGAATTACTGTACCGTCCGTTGCACCATTCTTTTCGTGGATCTAATTTTCGAAGAAGAGCTGAGCCTGGCATGTGTGTGCGCAAAGTTACGTAGTTGCCCGACAAACCGCCGCATCCCTGCCCCGTGGGTAATACTTCAGGATGCATCGCGATTCTCTTTGTTTGGCAGTATGTATTGCCTCGAGACGTCATTGAATTGCGGTGCTCTGTACGGAATGGAATGGATTAAAAGTCCCACGCGACGATCGCGCCCTGTCTACCTCCCGACCTGAGACACGACGAACATCGTACCCGGAATCTCAGCTCAAGCGAGGACGACGGATTTTGTGTTACATACAGCAGTATGTGGGTGTCGACTTTCTCCATAATTGAACTAACGGTTGGTAAGACATAATGTATAAGACATCTGAGCGACATCACACCAGCAGTGAACCCTTGCATCGCTACTGCTGTGTACACCCACAGGCGCAGGTGCTGTTGAAAAACACGCACCAGCAAACGCGACCGCCACATGGACATCAACGGCGGTACATGACAAGTCAAAACAACCCAACGAACAAGATTCCCTGTGAAGGCCACATTCCACATAAAATTAAGGATGTATCCGCCTATCGATACAGATGATTTTGTTCTTAGCTCCAACTGGCATTACTGATAACTCAGTGTTAGGCTTACATGAACTCAAAATACGCCAAGTCTCCGGTTGGTTTCAATCCATTTAGTGAAAAGACTTCACCACATCCCTTTCGACTGAGGTTATATCGCGAACGGGTAGTCGTTCTGTGAGGTTATGTTGACTTTCTAAAAAAAGATTCGCCACCGCTCCCTGCTGTCCTAACAGCAATAACTCATGTATCTGTGATCTGTGATTGATGGCAGGTGTTGATGGTGTAGTGATTGTTCGGGGACACGTAGGGAGATCCATGGGTCTGCAAAGAGGTGTGGTGTGCGGGATCAAAACATGCGACACAGAGAAACCATCAGGTCCAGGAAGCGCAGTAATGTAGATGTCGAGACAAAGCACCAACCGAGAATACCGCCTATTCCTCATTTTTTTTTCTTCTCGTCATGTTCCAATCCCCGGTCCCCTTGTCTTCCCAAGATCTGCCTTCAAGAAATTCCAACTCATCTGTATTGAAGAGTTACAAGCCATCTCTACGAAACCCCTCGAGTTCTTTCCCTCAAGCGTTTGTCGCCCCTCTTTCTCTCGTGGTGCCAAACTCGTGCTCCTCTACCGTCAGGGACAGATCAAGTAGCCCCGTCCTCTCAGGAAAACATGAAGTCTGTTATCGCTTTTTCGGCCGTGCTGGCCAGGTGAGACTCTCGGTGCAGTGGCGTTGCTTGGTGCTGAAAGGAAACGGTGGAAAGGTTTTACATGCGTGTGTGCTGGTCCCTTTGGTTTGGGGCAGCAACCAAAAGCTGTTTGTGCTGGAGAGAGAGACAGGCAGAGTAAGAGAGAGCGCGAGATGGCAAGACGCGTAGTCCTGGCGAGAGACAGTTAGAGAGGGAGCGAGAGAATGCTGTGGTCTCGCGCGTGGATCATGGGTTTGCACTTGAAACGGGACCATTTTGGAGCAGTTGATCGGTAGCAGGTTTCGGCCAAACACCCGATCATGACATGTGCGCACAGCCGTGCGCAGCATGAAAAGTTGTTGGTTGTTGACCAGACGGCAGCGTTGATGTGCATACAGCAGCTGGAGGCAAGAGATCTAGATACGTTCCACATCGGCAGTCGAAGAGCTGGAGAAGTTGAGTCATGCCCTTGTTTCTCGAAGCCTGTTATGCGACATCAAAAACATGTCGCGTTGTGGGGACGTTCTCCTGTGAGGAGCGTGGCTTCTGGGTGTGCACAGATGCACAGGGCACATGACAAATGACACACAGCACAGCACCGCGTTGATGCGCTCTTCCTTCCAGAGCAGTAGCCGCAGTTCTCCTTGAGGCCGGCTTCCACGTGCGCAAGCCATGTGCTGTCTGTAGAGATTTGGACCGGCGAGCCGAGCTGAACGTCGTCACATGCACCGCCCTTGACTAAAGAAATCCCAGTGGTGCATCATCCGTTAGCCACAACTGCAACATGCTCGCTGGCGTTCGTCACAACTAAGCGACACCGATTCCCACTGCTGCTTGTGGCAAGCATCTCTCGGTGCCTCCCATGTTCGGCCATCACTGTAACCCCTCTTGTCTCTCTCTCCATCTTTTTTTGGGCACTACGGTAGCATTCGGGCGTAGCTGTATGATTGTGTACATACTGCTGAGTAAATAGTACCCCCATTGTTGGGAGCTGTCGCTTACCACGGGGGGCGGCCGCATCAGGTGTACCAGTACGGGTGGTAGAGAGTACTACTTGACTGATTTTGTAAACCGGATATGATTTTTTAGGCAAAGGTAAAAGCAATGACACTAGCGCTGTGCCCTTCACGAACACGCGAGGATCGCAAAACTATCAAACATTGGTGTTGCTGGAGTTTTTTGCAGCGTCTAGTCAACAAGTCCAGCGATTTATTGCAGCGATTGATTGGCGTGCGGCAAAATACACCTCTTGGTTGCAGTTTCAGCGAAAGACTAAACGCGCGCAGACTCCCCAACATGAAATGCGGACGTAGATGGCACGGAGTAGCATATTGTGTAGGAAAGGGAGAGGCCCCGCGCAATGCAAACGATAGGGCAACAGCAGTGTTAGTGTAGGACGCTACGCCGCTCATGGCTCGTGGCAGCCAATACAACACCCCCGCCAGGAATCAGGCTGGGCACCTGCGTCACGGAAACTACTGCTGATGCTACCGCTGCTGCCGCTCTTCGTGCCATTTCTCATGGAGGTACTCCTCTCTTCCCCCCGTGTTCTCTCCCACATGTTCCGTTCGATGCACCGTATTCTCGCGCCCCCCTCTCCACGCAAAATTTGATGTTGGTGCGATGCCCTTGAACGGTGGACCACTTCCGCGGCCGTTTGTTCACAACTATTGTAACGCGGCTGGATGGCAACGGTGACATGACACCTACTGCTGCGGGGCCCATCCACACACCGGAACGGTTACAACTCATCGAACTCTCAACACACCAATTTTCGACGGCCGCCGCCGCCACGCACGATGCAAACAGCGCTTCGGCGTTCGTGCCGTCGGCATCCTTCGTTGGCTCCCGGGTCAGCTCCGTAGCGCGACCGGCGTCCTCCACGGCCGTCTCGATGGCCGCGACGGACATGGTCGGCGCAAGCGCGCCGCTGGGCTTCTTCGACCCCATGGGTTTCTCCAAGGGGCCGGCGGAGCGCCTGAATGCGTACCGCGAGTCGGAGCTCAAGCACGGCCGCACGGCCATGCTCGCGGTGGTCGGGTTCCTCACGCAGGTGCGCGAGTTTGGGGCTCTAGTAAGATTTCGCCAAGGCCGCGCGCTGTTTGGCTTTTTTCCCGCGTGTGTTTGTTTTTCCGTGTGAAGACGCCCTTGGTTGACTTGGGTAGGTGTGCGACTTTGGAAGCAGGTCGCTGCTCTGCTGTCTGTCTGCCGCCGGGCACTGCTGTTTGGCACCGTCGTGTTTTTCTCTTTTTCCGTCTCGTGTTGGTTTCCGTGTTGTTGTATCCCCTTACGCCTACTAGTGTTTCCTAGAGTTTTGCAGATGATTTAGGACCAGGGGCGTGAACTTGTCGGTTACACCCACAACTATGGGCTTTGCTTGTTTGTGGTCGCTCATCGTTTTCTGGGGGCAGCTACATGGACAGCGGTGCGTGTAGAAGTAGGTTCTTCTGTCCAACACAGCGTTTTATTGTGTAAATCGTAGGGAGCGGTGTGTGGATTGAAGAACCTCGGGAATAGTTGGCTCCTATTCATGCTTTACTTGTCCAAGTTATGCCACATGGCTGATCGAAACAAGCCAAGAGCTCGACCGAGGTGACCTCTGGCTATCTACCCACATTCACTGTATGGTCGAAACCCCCCAAAATGTCGTGCGCCAGATAAATCGAACCTACCCTATCTGTGTGGCTCCAATCGATTCCGCGGGCACCCTCGTCGTTTCGTGGCGTTGCGCTCGACACACCATGTCTCACTTTATGAAATTGTGTCGTTTTCTGGGGGTTGCGTGAAAGGGGTTGTCGCCAGGTGTTACGTTTACCCTGCAGCACAACCAACCGTAGGACAGGGAGTGCTGATGTTTGTGCTGCATAGAATTATTGGAAGGAGTGGAGCACGTTGGAGCACCTTGAAGTGGTTCAAAGTAGAAAGGTATCGGCACGGCATGGTACGATTTCGCCTTGTCTGCGTCGTTGATAGGAACTGTGGTGGCATGTATGTAGATAGGAGTCGGCAGGGAGGCCCCCCCGTTGGAAGCAAGTGCTTGTTGGAAGTGCGTTCTACACATTAATCAAACGGGGTGGATAACATGCAGCCTTGCCGGCCTGTGTGTTTTCTGTAGCGAAGGCTCGAGCGGGAGTTGACAACTGGATACCTGTTCGCAAGCTGTCTTGTTCACTTGGTCTGAATCCGGCGGTAGTTTTCACTTTTGTTGCCAACCGCAAGGGCAACTAGAGGGGGCGTGGAATAGCTGTTCTCAGCGGCTTTGGTGGGATGCCAGGTGGGGTGTGACCAACCCGTTCCACCTCGATACCATGGACGAACAAGCACATGGGAACGCGAGCAATTCCGCTCTTTGACCCGCGGGCGAACGAGAATATTGGCGGGCGTTTTCCTTCTTCCTGAACTATTCCTTTCCGGGCGTAGCTTGAAAACCATCCTCCCACCCTTCTGCTGCATCACGCTTATGCGCAGAATGCACTGAGAGCCCTCTCTACGCTTGTGTGCTGCTGTCTGGTACCAGTATACAACAGTGTGCGACCTGCTGTCCTTCCCAGCTCCGTTTCATTCGGACAACACTCTGTTTTGCTGATTGCTTGAATTTTGGTTTGCATGCATGCGCGTCCGGTCTTGTGTCTTTTGCTACTGCTTGTACAGGAGAACTGGCACCCTCTGTACAACGGTGGCCTTTCGTCCAACCCCCTGAAGGCCATCACCGAGGTGCCGCCGGAGGGCCTCTTGCAGGCAAGTTACCGATGATGCTGCTGCTGCTGTTGTCGCTGCTTTTGGTTGTGTTGTTTGGTGGTGCTCATTGCTGTGCGTGCTTCGTCGCTTGCGTTACTTCCGTGAGAAGTTACGTTTTCCAGGCAGCGAGCGGCTCGTCGATGATGGCGATGGTATTGCTTACACGCACTCTGTGCTCGCCCCTCCCGTTGTGTGTAGTATGATGTACTGGTGGTGTTTTTGCTCGTCGCGTTCACCGCGCTGACAGACGCCAAAGTTAAGCGAGCAATGGAACAAACACACTTCTAACGCTTGTAATCTGGGGCCATGTGTGTGTGGGTATTTTTTGTGCAGATCGCGATGTTCATCGGGTTCCTGGAGTACATCATCTCTCAGATAGTGGCCAAGCCCGGCTACATCCCGGGGGACTACGTGGGAGCTAACGACCTGTTCAGCGAGGAGGGACCCCACTCCCAGTGGGAGACCTACCAGGTGTGTTGGATCGCACGTCTCGGTTGGTGCGCTGCTACTGCTACTGTGGCGTCGTTGCTGTGTTGATGCCGGCGATGTCAACACCGAAGTAACTCCTGTGGTTGTGCTCTGTCGTCCAGCGGTGTAAAGATATGTATGTACCGTAGGTGACAAGGTATCGCACACGCTGAACTCAGTTGAATCAGGAGTAGTGAGTGGTGCCGAACATGGCGGTGTTGGAACCGTCTGGTGGAGAAGAAAACGCACGGTTTGGTTGGTGCATACGCTTCGTCGTGGAGTAGTCATGCTCTGAAATCAGTCCCGGAGGTGGGGTATCTCACGGTACCAACGCAAAGGGAAGAATTTCGGTCCGTGTTTGGTGACATGTTCAGTGTTCGAAGAATCTATTCTATTGTACGGTGGTCTTCTTTGTACAGGCGTAGAACGGAAAGGAATATGATGGTTGTAACGGCGTGAGTACGCACTCCACAGCGTGTCGCGGGATGTGTTTTTGGATAGTGGAAGAGCCTTCAAGTTACGGGCTGCCACTGCCACCGCGGAAGACACGGGTCGTCAAAGGCGTGTCGACCGGCCTTGTTTTTAGAGTGTGTGTTCGACAGGGTTCAGTACCTGCCGGCCTCTCGTGTTTTATGCGTGTTGCCCTTTTGCATCAAAGTAAAATACCCCTACATGTACGCTGGTCACCCACAGATGTGTTGTTAGTCCGCTAGGCGGGCTCGCGCTCAACCGACGGATGCCATGTTTTGGCAGGCGACGTGTGCAGCAATTTTTGCAACGACGGACGCCCTCTCCTGCCGATCTGTCAAGTCTGTCCAGGGGCGCTTGCGGCATCATCTTTGAAGTGTTTTAACAGTATCAGTAGCGACCGACGACGACTGACCCCTCCCCTGCTCCGTCGAACCGCTTTCGCCAATTCTTGTCCCAGCTCAAGGAGCTCCACAACGGGCGCGCGGCGATGATGGGCATCGCCGGCCTCGTGACCCACAACTTGCTCACTGGCGGCATGCCCGCATTCGAACAGATCTCGCGCGGAGTATACAGCGGCGGCATCCACTAATCATACGATACCTGCAACACAGTTTTTCGAAGTCGTTTTGGGATCGTGCGTTGGGGGTGGTGAATTCTCTCTCCGCCGGCATGTGTATTGACGAGTACGCGTGCCCTCATGAGCGGGGGACGATGTCCCGTCTTGTTCCTGAGACGAGCGTCTTGGGTTTCTAGAACATTTGGATAAGAGAGAAACAAACAGGTTGATCAAACTTCTGTTTTTTTGTCCGGCCTCTGCGGGCGATTTCCCTCTCTTGCCCTTTTTGATTGTATTTTTTTGTTGTCGTTCTGACCTCCATTTTCTTATTGTTTTCCTGCCCACGGGGAATAGCGGATTGAAGGAGAACAGAGTGTCGCGTCTCTCGGTAAAGATCATGTCAGTCTCTCTAGTGATTTACGGCGTCGGCACGGCGTTTCGGTCGCGGGAGTTGATGTGCAAATATTGGCATGTTAAGAGGAGGGGTGACATGGTGTTGGTCCCCGTGTTGTGTGCTTGCACTCTTTCGGGAGTTGCCTGGGGTCGCAACAAGCCTACATTAAAATGAGCCGACTAGCTACCCACTTGTTTCTATGTACCCGTCTCCGAAGTCGTGCTTGGTTTTACGAGTCGTTGAGCTTAAAACGACCACTCTCCACACGCACATCCTGTGTGATGGCAAATACGCTCAGCGCACCGACTGCTACTTGTGTGGACGATGATGCGCGCTGTCTTGACGCGTCGCGTTTTTTTATTTGCTATCGTTGTTCAGGCCTTTCGGTCTACACCTGTGTCGGACCGCAACCGAACGAAAGTCGGGAGCGCCTGCACACCGCGTTTTGATGATCGTATCACGCAGCGTTAACGATACTCGGTACTTGGCTCTATCACCAACGAAAACACTGGCCGCTCCAAACGAGGAGGTGTGTCACGGCTACACGTTGCCACAGGGCGGTGTTGCAACAACCAAAGTTCCGAACAGACCTACGCAAGAGTTGCGTCGATTTCGTGGGGGAAAGCGAGCCTGACTGCGGCGATGGCGGCGGGAATGGGACTGGTGTGGCACACATACATATTTTGAGAGGGTCGACGACGAAGCGGTTGTTCACATGCTGGCACATCCGCGTACATACATCCAAGGTGTAGAGCTGGGGCTCTGGGACATCCCCTTGCCTTGGCCCCATCCCATCATGACTCGTGCCATCTTTTGGTTTCGGACATATGGGGGGTTGGGGCAAGGGGTCGGCGAATGCGGATACAAGTTTAGTTCGTGCGAATCGCGACAACTGCTGTCGCAACAACAATAACCACGACCAAGTCGCGCACCCGCACACACCCACTCCCGGGCTTCCTACTTGTACGCAACGGGGGTAGCTTAACAACTGCAAGCGTGCTGCGAAGGTTTGAATAGGTGCACGTATCTCTTGTCATGAATTTAACACGAAGGGCGTCCGCACCAGTTGGCCCGAAGCAGTAGTACGGGCGCTGATAGTAGGCATGAACAGAGATCGCCGCGATTTTCAATGCAAGCGCACAGAACCCAAGAGGAATGATTTTCACCGAATCCGGCCAGAAAGTTCACCACAACTTCATTGCCGCAAGAAATGACTTCGAGAGTGAACAAGCTTTTGAACAAACCAAAAACCCAACACACTCCACAAACGCGCTCCACCAAAATCACGAACAAAATCCTCTCAGAATGTGGCTAACCCAGTTTGGGCGCATCCACGAACGCCTTCCGTGTCGTTTTTCGCATTGCGAACAGATGTACCGTAGAAAAAAGCCAAGACAACACCCTTTTGCCTGCTGCGCTGAACACAAACAATTATCCAATCGCCGGCGTCCGTGCAATCAATATACATTTTCTTGTACGACACACCAATACCAACACCACCTGCCAATGAAACTTTGTACAGCAGTACCTGCACTCCGACCCCCGATGCTCCCCTCGCCGCATACATATCCCACAACATCTCGGCCGGCTATGAACCAACACCTTCCTTGTCCCACTGTTGCCTCCTGGTTGCCATAGCCCACCATTTTCGAGCGCAAAACGTTGGCACGCGCATACCACCGCTGCCAGCCGCGTTTTGTGTCTCTCACTATTAATAGCAGTCTACTGCTGCGTTCCGGAGGGTGAGTGTGGCGGGGGCTGCAACAGGGCCTGTCGGAGCCGGGCGGGGGGGAGGGGGTCGAAACGAACGACGGGCACAAGAAACAGTTAGTCTGTCGTTTGTTGCCCTTGCATGCCTAAAGCATGCGCCGACCAGCAAGGAAATTAACGAAGCGATGCGGAAAAACGAAACGGTAGAAGATGGTACCACCAGGCGAGAGGGGTACATGGGGAGCGAAATTATTAGCATTTCGAAAGACAGACCTTCATGTACGCATCAAACTCTCCCAAACAGCGAGCAGGGATAACTACTGCCGTACCCAACTACGTAGCAGCTCGTGGGCGACGACAGATACACAGCATACCCCAACTTGCAAAGCCTTGTGAACGGCACACAGAATAAAGACATGTGGCATTCAACTTGCAAAAAAAAAAGAAACGCAAATCATGTACTAGTAGTAGGTAATAAGCGACGAAGAATTGGAGATCTATCTTCGGGTATAGGTCGAGACCGCGAGCGCCCGTCAACAAAAAGTTGATGCCAAACCCAGACATACACAGCTACATGTAGCTCAAGCCGATAGGAAGCCTTTCGAACCCCCGTTTATTTCCTTCTCCGACCGCATGCGTTCACCTTGTGGACGAAGGGAGACTTGCACATGGCCCAGAATAACCACGGCATCCAGACGCGGCATTGGACCGGCCGGGAGCACAGGACCACCCATCCCAGAGCCAGCACACACGGCATGATGACCAGCATAGCCACGGCGAGGAAAAACTGCCGAAATAAAGTGTGCACAAAACATGAAAAAAACGCCGGTATTGCCGGACAAAAAATATTCGTGTGTTGCGCTCCCACAATTCTGATGATGAGGCAGCAACAAAAATAATAGGGAACCGTATACCAGAAACTACGGTATTACCCGGTGGGAAAAGCCCTGGCAACGAGATGATGCCATGCCGTCTAATGCCATACCGTATGATGAAAATGAGTTCGAGCCTCTACCATACACATCCCTGGTACATCAAATACAACAGGACTATCTTTTTGACGTGGAGCCTACTACAGCAGGAAGAAATTCAACACTCACAAGCAGCTGACACCATTAGCAATCAGTCCATATCGAGGCTGAATGCAACGTCTCGAAAGCAACGAGACACGCAAGCACAAAGCGAGCTGCGAGATTTTTCATTTTGTGTCCATCGAAAGGGCCGATCCGAAACCGATCAACCCGTACCATCGGCTGTTCACGCCCATCGTTGACGGAACACGGCAAGAGGACACATTTTTTAAGGGTTCGTGGTAGCTTACGGTAACGGCCACTCTTTCTAAAATGCCTTGCACCCCGGCTACATGATTACGAGATAAGCTCATCCCCGGTGCTGTACTTGGGTGCGTCAATTCGCTCGCCAACCGCAAGCTTCAAAACCGCCACCGCGAATAGATCGTAGAGGCAAAAATATCGGTAAGTGTGGTAGTCGTTTGCTGCAGCAAACCTTAACCTTGATCTATGCAGCAATCTAGACGGCCATCCAGACACGCACACATTTGCGACTGAGGGTACCATCGACCAACTTACCCCTCCCATGAGGGTGAGCGGTAGAAACAGCAGGGCCATGAACAACACCGGCACGGCCAACGCCAAGAATGTCATGGAAGCCCCTCCGCCAACAGCGCTCGAAACCGCCGCCGCGCTTCCTCCGTAAATGATCTTCTGGGCCTTGGTGAGACGCTTGGCAACTCCTTCGGCCATGGCAACGGGTTTGAAGAGAACGTTCATCACTTTGTCCACCACCGCGTCGATCTTCGCCTGGAGGTTGTTGTTCCGGCGGGAGGGGGTTGATGCAAAACCAACAGCGACGAGCGACGAATACGACGACGGCAGCAAAGCCGGAGAAACAAACTATGACAACGACGCAATACACGAACAGAAACTGACAGCGATGACAACAATGACGACAACAACAACAACAACAACAACGACAACAACAACGACATTAACATGAACAAGAACACGAACAACGGAGGCATTTTTATACCTTGTCGGTGAGGATTGCGGTCTTCGCTGCGGCGGTCTTGATCACTCCAAACGGTGCGCGGAACCTTAGCTGCAGGCAAGCAGGTGAATCGAGGCGAACGAAAAGCAGCAACGACGGTGGTTGGCCAGTGCAGTATAATCGACAACAGACGCATGAACGGAACGTCGAGAGGATCGATGACCCTACTCGGCAAGACAGTAAACGAAGAAATGGAAGCTGACGGCCTCGAATGAAATCAACGTTCAGGCGTGGCCAGCAAGCCAAGGCACGCAAATACTACCGCAAGCAGGCCGGCCGGCCGGAATCAAACCAAACATCCAGTGTCAACAGAAGCAACGTGTCCCACATACCTTCTGTTCTCTCGGACGAAAAGAAGAGAAAAAAAAATGATGCGGAAAACAATCTACTAATAGTCCAATCCGGCAAGAGTGGAGGCGACAAGCCAACGAAACATGTATGCAACAGGAAAAATGCACAAGAAGAGAAAAACTGGGAAGGCACTAGACCAATGTATCCCCCCTACCCACCCCCAAACATGGGCATCGGAAGTGGGTTGAAACGGCAGGACATTTCATCGATAGGATAGATAGGCTGGGGAAAATGTTCTTGAGCCACCTTTGGCGAACGGTCGGCCATCGGTGATCGGTCGTGTGGTAACAATGCTCCGTCCTCTCGAGGGCGCGTGGTCAATCGCCTAACCGCTAAGGCATGCAAAACATAAAGAGTACACCGCGCGCGCCCCCCCTCATCTGATCGCCTTTCTCTTCACCTGAGCGCGGTACTGCAGCTTCAGGACGACCGTGCCCATGTTGGGCACACCCGTGGTGTCAGTGGTGCATGGCATAGTCACCTGACCGGACGGACGGATTAAGAAAAGGAAACGCACAAGACACCGGTTTAGGTTAGATGGTAGATGATACAAGGGGTCCCTCCGGAGTGGGCCTATGAGAGAACACGGCTAGTGTTATCAACGGGTGACGCAAGATGGAAATACAAGCAGGTAGGCAGCAGAACCAGCGCGCCGTTGGCTGCTTAACACATAGTAGCTGGTTGTAACGTTTTCCAAGCTCAGCAGCTCACACAGCTGGCATTTTTTGACCCGAAAGACCTCAAAGAACCTCAACGAACCAAAGCAAACAATTACAGATCTCTCTATCCAGTCTTAGTACGCCTGTAAGCATCATGAGGGTACGACTGACCACGCGAAGGAAGAAGGAACTAAACGCAAAAACGCCAAAACTAAACAACCAACCAAACGACCTACAGTTGGGGGGGCACCATCCGGGCAGTCCAGACTCAACAAAAGTAGAAACAAGAGTGGATTGATTGGGTGAAACGGCGCGCGTTGGGGACATGCATCGAGGGCACTCCAAAAAAAACAAGAAAAACGCACTAGCACTGACTCCCAAAGCATACAGCAGGACGCAGCACAAACCAGAAGCCTCCCGTTTGAACTTTTCGAACAAAACCCCAAAATCCCCCGAGATCTCCGTAGATCCATATCTAGTGCTGAGTACACCTAACAAGAAGGGTGCGTAGGTAAGCATGTAGATACGAATATTGAGTACATTTTTTCCTTCTTGAAAAACACACACAAAAAACTCACCTCCAGCACCCTTTCCCCGCCACCAACACCAGGAAACCCCCAATCTGTCGCTCGCACCCCCCCCCTCACGCTCACCACCCCTTCTCTAGACCCTTCTTTTTCCATCAGGCTTATCTGGAGAGCATCGCTGTGCAGCAACAGCACGCAGGCCAAGGCACGATGATTGATATCACAAGAAGCACACCAAAGGTCGGTCGGTAAGAGTCTTACCGTTGGCATTGATTTGTAAAGGCGGAGGAGTTAGGGCGGTGGGGACGCACACTACGTTGTCGAGTTTTTAACTTTCGTCTCTCTCTTTGTTGGAAGTGTGTGCGGAGAGAGACATTCGCAGCAGTCTCGCGTAAAAAAACCCAAGGGAAAAACTTCGTCCAACCCCCTAGCCTGACAACGGGTCTACAAGTAAAGGTCGACAACACACAGAAACAGAGGAAAAAACTCGTCCAAACGCCTAGCCCGATAATGGGCCTAAAAAATTCTCAACAGGTCGACAAGGTTGCCTCGTTTTCGGCTACAGGAGTGCCGGCTCGTAACGTAAGCAAAGCTTCTCAACCATGAGCTCAGGCTATTCTAAGCCGCTATACACGACTTAGGGTGGCGCTAGTGGCCGAGCCCAATTTCTTGCGATCGATTTCCGTTTGAATTTTTTTCGCATGAGCTGGTCCGTACTTTGTGAACAAGTTGTCCCTAGCGAAAAGAATTGAAACGATGCAGCAACTTGTACTGCTGTACGTACTCGGCTTTCTCGTGGGGGGTATGGCACCTGAAAGAAATGACAGTGTTTGCGAGCGATGGAGGTTCCGAAAATCGTGGAACACGGTACTATACAGACGTTTCTCTGTCTGTCTGTCTGTCTGTCTGTCTGTCTGTCTCTGTCTCTGTCTGTCTCTCTGCCTCTGTCTCGCTCACTGTCTCTGTCTCTGTCTCCCTCTGTCTCCCTCTGTCTGTCTCCTCTCTGTCTCTCTCTCTCTCTCCCTGTCGGGGAAGGGTACACTCACCCCCCGAAAAAACAATTTCCGTTCTCAACCTCCCCTGCCTCTGTCGCGCATTTGAATTGTTTGTATGAATAGATGCTTTTTTCCGAGATGTCAGCAAGGGCTACTGTGGCCACGCAATTTATTTTTTTGCTCCTCACGTGCTGGCAATGTTGCGGAATATGAAAGTCTCGTGCCAGCTGGGATTCGCGTCGCTTTCCTGTTATGTTTGTATCAAACAAACAGCATCGTAGACAAACACACGCAAACAACAAAACAAGCGAATTGGGGGGGGGGGGGCGGNAGGAAACATCAGAAGGGAGAGCAAGAGGGAATATTCAACAATGGCGTGGAAGGAGCAAGCTGCCGCGAGACGGCTTGCCCAAAATGCAGAACAAGGACAACAACAGCCACAACCAAATCAAGATAGCGGAACAACGTCGAACCAAAATCGTACAACCAATCGGTCATGTCGGATGAGAACAACATCGAAACGTTCCCGCAAAATATTCGTACACGTACCCGTACACCAGTGGTCTTGGTTTCGGGAGATGACGCCATCTTCAACAGCACGTAAGGGTTGCAGGTACCAAACGCCTTAAGGTTCTGACGGCCGTAGCAAACAGCAACAGCCAACGACAGAATACCTCGAGGGCTTAGAAAACAAGAGACCGGGCGACAGACAACTCGGTTGCATGCAACAGAGGGAGCGACCAGTGGGTGTGGCAAACTACACACAGGCGAGCGGATGTATGCTTGGGTGCTGGAAAAACGAGGGGTGCAATCAACACGTTTCGTGAGCCAACGTTGTGAATCATCGCGGGTTTTCATTGTCACCATCACGTATCGTATCGTGTGTTGGAGTTGTATTGTCGAGCAAGCTTAGGACAGCTGCGGACGTTCTACAATCCGATTGGATCGTGACAGCTCGTTGGGGGTTCCAGCATTGCACCGGCGCAAGGGACTCTCAAGGATCCATCTCCCTGCAGCAATCTTGACTGCTGTAGGTTTAACAAATCTACAACCAAGCAATCTAGATAGGTACTCCCGACAGCACACATTATTTTTTTTTTTCGTGTGTGGGAGGTTGAACTTCATCCTCCTGGCGTATCGACACGCGCATTCCACCTCTCTCCTCGGAATAAGGGAAGGAGCTCTGCGCGAGGGGGGTCCTGTTCTTTGCAAGACGTTCAATCACTATATATCATTGAGAAGGTGAAGGTGGCAGTCCTATCGCGACGCCGTCGCTAGTCAGCACGCAAGAGATAACATGCATTGCTTACCTGTAGGTTTATCCCTCTCAACACCTGCACCGTCAGATCTCCGAAGACGTCGGCAGAAGTCATGATGTGTATGGTGTGAGTCTTGTTGCGCGGTCCTCCTCAAAACCGATGAGACCAGTGGCAGCAGCTGTCAGAAGTAGCCAAGACTTCTTCTTGGGCTGCCACCAAGAGAAAAACGAAGCAAGCGAGGATTGCGAAAAGAAACCAGAGCGCGCGCGCGTGTGTGTGGGTCGGGTGGGTACCCAAACAACATACAGCTCGCAGTGATCGCATGATGCCATCTGATTGGCCAAATGACGCGACGATCGGGTGCAACCGGTCGAGCGACGGTCAAGGTCGGGTGGCGGCGGGCGTCGATCAATCAGATATCGTCGTGCGGTCGCTGCGAGGTGCGGTTAATAGGGGTACCTGACTGCTGTGGCCATGTTCGCACCAAGTGTATCGGTCGTACACCGCAAAATATATATATATGTACAAGGAAGATAGACGGATTCTTTCTCAGAATTGTTGCCCTGGTGGGCAGTCTCTCCGTGATGTTGGGTATGCACACTTATTTTCTGGGATTAGAGCAGCGCCCATTCGAACTTCGGGGGGCAGAGAGTATCACGGTCTCATGACGCGAAAAGGACTCGCTAGCTGATTGGTCAGGCGGGGGAAAAAAGTCGCGCAATTATTGGCCCATTTCCAAGAACAAAACTATGTGCGTCGTCATATTTCTGCCGAGACGTAAAGCCGATGGGGTACAGCAGTAGACAGACGTCCTATCAAATAGTGCCATGTTTGTCCATGCAATATGCACACACATTGCACGTTGTCGGCAGAGGCCCGGTACAGCGAACCCGACCGTGGATCCAATGCGACAATCCAGAGATGATCAGAGATAACAAAAGAGCGAGAGAGCCGTGGATCCAATGCGACAATCCAGAGATGATCAGAGATAACAAAAAGAGCGAGAGAGCGAGAGAGAGCAGCAAGCAACGAGAAGCCCGCGCGTACGGACATACCTTGCTGTCCGGAAGCGAATCTAGAAGGGGATGATCCAAACACGAACGACTTTCGTATGTACTATGCTTCTCCAACTCCCGTCACTGTCTCTTGCTCGTGTAGCGAACAAGAACGGGCAACAACAGCAGCTCGTGGGTGCATGTCATCAACAGGTTCAACTCAAAGCAGCCGTCTGTGAGGAGTAGATCCAGGCAAATGTACTGCTGCATTGATGACGATTCAGCAGCAACAACGCTCACGAGGTCCTCACAGTGATGGGCAGAAAGCGGGTCGTCGCTGTGAGTCTTTTGTCGTCAGCCCCTCTCCTGCCTTTCTTGGCGGCTTTCCTTATTGACACAGCGTGGCAGGCAGGCAGCACAGCAGACTCGGCTGTCACTTTTGAAGGACCCGGGGGGGGTGACGCGTCATACACATAGTATACATGTTAGAAGCCCTATCTGCGCACCCCCTCCTTACATTTGCCGTCCGCTCTCAGCTATGCCCTACCCTTGCCTCTGCTCTGTGTGTGTCGAAACCAACTCACGCGCCCACGCCACAAGGTAAGAGGCATGGGACAAGGCGCTTCTATGTCATTGGTGATGTTTATGTTATGTCTTGGAGATCTGCGATGGCAAGAGACATTGGTTGTTGGTCCCCATCCGTAGTGCATGCAAACGGAGAGACAGGTGCTAAATGAACAGCTGCAGGTACTGCTGTGTGTGTTCACCAGTTCTCACACACAGAAACACCAGCCCTGCTTGCACGACGCACCTGGCCCCCCAATGCTGCTGCCACTCATCTCCATGTACCGCCCGTTCTCGAATTACTTGGACGTACACAATAGTTGTACATGCTCCCGTGGGTATCCAATCGTTACATGTGCAGCAGAGGAGTGCATGGACTTTGGTGGGCGACTGCTCTCCGTCCGCAGACTCGAGCATGAGAGAATGAATCCCCTCGGCTCCCTTGTCATAGGCACGTGGCGGCGCATGGAACTCGACGAAAATGTCATGTGCGAAATCACAGAAAGTGCTCCAGATCCTATTTCTTCATGTACCCCTCGACATGGATACATGTAGCCCGGCCCGCACGAGAGATCGCGCTGGCTCTTTCAACTGGACCTTGTATGTCTTTCGTCTTTGCCTTCGAGACGCAGGGAGAGCATCAGCCATAGCTACCCTCGCAGGGGAGCCAACTGCTGTGCACCAATACCATCTCTCCCCCCCCCCCCCCC